GTCCACTGATGGACCCTGATGAGGACTGTTGGTCCACTGATGGACCCTGATGAGGACTGTCGGTCCACTGATGGACCCTGATGAGGACTGTTGGTCCACTGATGGACCCTGATGAGGACTGTCAGTCCACTGATGGACCCTGATGAGGACTGTTGGTCCACTAGGGACAGTCTCAGTCGGGGGGGGGGCAGCTCTGGGACATCTCTGTCACAGTCGGCTCATAGCTCAGTGTTTCACTCTGTCATCAGACTCAGTGTCGACACCAAAACTTCAGAAACAGCTAAGCTCTCGTCGACAGCTGACACAAAGCAACGTCCAGTGCAAAATAAAGACACAGTCACAGACTCAGCAGAAAATAAGACTTAAAGTGTAAAAATTTTCTTCTGTTAATCTGCAACTGAGAAAACAGACGATTACAGAACCTGAGCTGCGTCACGTAGAAAACATAAAACACCCGAAATAACCTGATGAATGTTTCTACAAGACAAAGACTGTTTGTTAGAGAACTTTAGACCAGGAGCAACACAGAGGCCAGTTCACATAACTGATCAATAACTGATCAATAACTGATGGGCTTGTGACTGATCAGCAGATTCGTTCAGTCTGAACCTTTGGCTTTATTTCCTGTGATGTCAGCAGCTCTGAGCGGCTTGACAGACGGACTTCACATTATTCAACACTGAATCCAAACCTGATAAAAATACACACACCCCCCCCCCTCCCCCACGGCGTCGCTCAGTTTGGGCAGCAGTGACCCACATGAAGCTGCCTCGTCATTTTCTATCAATAACCGGTGGAAGACAACAGCTGTCCGTCGTCTGTCCCTCTGTGCGGCGAGGACACTGCAGACCAACAGCAGAACATATAACTCTCCCCCAGAGTGGGGGATCGGAGTGTTTATATCTCAGATATTATAATAAACACACCCACTGACTGTGTGTCAGCGTCCTCACAGAGCTGCTTCAGGTCAGACACATAACAGGACTTTACAGGACTCTGACACCATGTCAGTACATGTCAGTGTCACTGCAGAGCTGCACACAGCAGCAGAGTCATGTCGGGCCGAACAGGGTCGGATGTCACATTCATTAGATCTCACTCTCTAGAGGGCACTGTTAAAATAATGTTGGGGTCAGAGGTCACCTACAGGCTCACTGTTCGGTTGGTCCATTTCAATTAGAAGTTTACATTAAATTATATTTTTTAACTTCATTTTTGAGATTATCCCCTTTTACACTGCCAGATTTTCGGTGAATGTTGGGCCGTTTTGCCGGCAAGCTGTGAGCGTTTAGACACACAGAGCCGGATTGGCGAGTTGATCTGAGGTGTCCAATAGAGTGTGCCAGTAAACCCGGAACTCCGTTAGCGCTTTTAGCACTTCCGGTTCTCTCGTCTAAAAGTCAATACATTTTTTGAATGGGATTTTGGTAAAATGCCTCAAATAAGGTCTGCAGTTAATAGAGTTGTACCGATACCGATACCAGTATCGGAAATGCCTCCGATACTGCCTAAAATGCGGTATCGGGTATCGGCGAGTACAGCCTATGACCAATCCAATACCACGTAATGCCTCACGTCGTTACGCATACGCACGCTACAGGCAAATGAAACGGAAACGGAGCGGTGTTTAAAAACATTCATGTCAAATGTCTTTTTTACCAAATTGTGTGGCTGCACTTGTCTTGATCCGTGTCAACACTGGATAATAATAATAAAAAAGTTTTATGGCATTAATTCTACTATTATGTATTTATTTCTTCATATTTTACATAGAGTTTTAGGAGTTGAGACATACAACAATTCATATCCCATCCATTTTTATTTTACGCGCACGTATCGGATCGGTACTCGGTATCGGCAGATACCTAAGGTTCAGGGATCGGAATCGGTATCGGGAAGGAAAAAGTGGCATCGGTACATCTCTAGTGGTTAACAAAAGCTTAAGCGAGTTTCAGGTTTTGTTCTACGACATAAAACACGTCAGTAAATACCCTGCTTGTGAATTTTGAAGTTTTTACGTGTCGTAAAAAAGGCGGTTGCTAACAAGTTGCTCAATACGACTACAAACCCTGTCGGGGACATTAAACGTTATCACCCCCGAAAAGGCGTGAGTGCTGGCAGTCCGCCATTACAGCTTCTTATTTAGCTTAAACTAGGGATGTCCCGATCCACTTTTTTCACTTCCAATCCGATACCGATATTACAGCCTTGAGTTTTGGCCGATACCGATCCGATCCAAACACGTATTATACATATTCACTTATTTTGTTGTCAGTCATGTTAGAAAAGGTTTGATCAAGCAATATTACTCTAACAAGAACAACTACTTAATCAGGTTAGTTAGAATGATCCACAACAGTTGGTATGAGAAACTGACCTGTTTATTGTTAAGAGGGTTAAATAAACAAACTTTAAACTTCAACATTAACATTAAATAAAAAATATAGCTGGTTTGCTTTGGCTGCTTTGGCCCCTTAATAAATAGAAAATAAATCAACACAAGAAATCTTTAAAATATCTAACAATGAAATTAAAATAGCAGCAGGCCTCCACACACTTGTGCTTTGGCCCTCTAATAAATAAAAAATAGATTAACACCACAAGACGTTGTTGACATTTAACAAACAATGCAGCCTTTCCTTTTCAGTTATTTTAGTAGTGTTTTTGTAGTCCATCCATGGCTCCAATTTCACTAATTGTGTTTTTCCGTGAAAAACTGGATTGGAGTTCTTGGATCAGCATTTTTCCATGCATTCCGATCCGATGCCGATGCCCGTTTTTTGCTAATATCGGCGGCCGATACTGATCCGAATATCGGATCGGGACATCCCTAGCTTAAACAGTCCGATTTCCCCATTATACAATGTTTTTAAAATAAAGCGGCCAAAATCAGTTGAAAGCTTAGTGGCAGTGACGTCAAGAGTCATGCAACCGTGGAGTAGTCATGTAGTCCGTTAAAGCTTAACGTTAGCTTTTTACTTCTGGCGATCGCATTTAAGCTTCAAATGCGGTATGAAAGGTGTTCATATGTGAAGATTATCTCGCTGAACAAAACCTGTAAGTATCATAAACTTGTGTTAGTCACAGAGCTTATTTTCTGACATAATCCAAAACACAATGCAAAAATCACATTCACTTTCTCTTCCAGGAACCAGCGCGATGCTAAACTTCCGGGTTTTGACGTCAGCCCTGGCACACTCTATTTTCTGCCTCGTAGGGTAGACATATTGGCCGAACCTTTTTGGTTTAAAAAGACTGAGGCGGCCTTCTGCAACGGGAGGGGCTGTTGATGACTTGTGGGAGGAGCTGTTGATGAGGCTGCACATGCGAGCCACTGGCGGTGGATAAACAGGAAACAGCTGATAGCAGGAATTAGATGAGCAACTGGGGAGACAAGGAATTGCGCGCCCTCCTTGTCCTCGCAAACGAAGAGGCCATTAACCGTCAGATGACGGGGACCGTGAAGAACGGGCTGTCTTACGAGAGAATCACCGAAGGACTGACCAGCCGCGGCTTCCCTCCCACGTCACTGTTTACGTCACACGCTGAGCTACACGTTTTGTTACTTGCTCACGCCCCCCATTGCCCCGAAAAAGGCACATTCTGTATAAACAAAGGTAGGTAGGCGGCATTTTGCTGCACTCCCTGATTTTGTTTTTATACTGCCAATGCTGAAAAAACACTGATTGGGCTTTCCTGCAAATTTGCACAACTTCTGTCTAAAAAGGGCTACAGACTCCACTTATGTTCCCCCTATTAAAATAACACAGGGACAACCAGTCCCACAGCGAGTCACCACCATGAAGATGTTTGTCACATGACGTCTTTGACAGAATAAGTTTGAGCAGAGTAAAGTCTCTTCAGTGCTCCGCGACACGTCAGGCTTCAGTTACATATTTAAACTGAATCTGTTCAGGATCCAGATTTTAAGGTTTTAAATGAAAAAACAAAGTGTGACATCAGACCCCGGTCTCCCCCACTGGAGGGACAATTTTGCAGTACATGTACTCGAGTATTTCTACTACATCCCAGAGTACTTTTTACTGCACTACATTTACCTGACAGCTTTAATTACTTTACAGATTCAGAAGATTAAAAACAAAATAAATCAGTAATAAATGATGATTTATCACAGATGAATCTAAAGTCATTACAATGAGCTCCACCTTCAGCAGCTGATCAACATTAAACTGATCATTAATGCATCAATTATTATTATTAAATAAAATCATACATTGCATTCTGCAGAATGACTTTAGTTCATTTTACTGATCAAACTGACAGACTTTATATATTTTAATGATAATACATTCATACTTTACTGAAGGAACATTTTCAGTGCAGGACCTTTACTGTAACAGAGTATTTCTACTCTGTGGTATTTATACTTTTACTAAAGTATTAAAAGCTGTGAGTATTTCTCCCTGCTCTGTGCAGCAGGACCTCACTATAGTCTGTTTAGTATTTGACTGTTTTTGTGTAATTTAAGTGATTAAACGTCATAAATCGATTTAAACTGATGAAACAAACTTAATTTCGGAGCAGTTTCGTGTTAAATGTAATACAGTGACATTAAATGAGTCCTGGTGTTGATTACAGCCGTTAAATCTCAGTGTCCCTCCGGTAACAGCACCGTGGGAAAACAAACACGATGTCAGATTAGAAACAGATGTTAAAAAGTTCACCGTGTTTTTACCGCATCTTTCTTTGTCTGGCGCCAAATCGGTTTTTAATGAATCCGGAGTCAACTGTGATCAATAAACTGATTAAATCACAGAGAGGTGACGGTTATATTTGGCTCCGTTATTATCCGGAGCTCAGTCTCGGTGTCGGTGCACGTTTTGTGGCCGCAGCAGCAGCAGCAGCTCCTCAGCCTCCCAGACTAACTCAACATGTACCGGACTCTGCTGCCGCCTGCCCGGGGTCTGCCCGGGGTCTGCCCGGGGTCTAACCGGGGACCGAGCCGCGTCTGACCCGCTGTTTGTGCCGGTGAGACTCACCTTACTGTGGCTGCAGCCCATTCCTCCTCCTCCGTTAGAAGCCGCTCTCTGTCTCTGCTCCTCTTCCTCCTCTTCTTCTTCTTCTCTCTGTTGACAACTTTCAAACACTTTCAAACAAGAAGTCTGTGAACGCACCGCAAAGGCCGCCGGGCGCAGGGGGCGGGGCTTATCTCCGCTGCATTCAGGAACACTTTGTAAACTCGGCAATCCAATATTTATTTTATTTTATTTTATTAATTCAATTAATTCAGTGATACAGTTTTAATTACAGGTAGAGGTAACGGAAACGAATGACACAGAACATATTTAAGAACAGTTTGTAAACTCATCAATCATATTTTATTCTAATTTTATTCTGAATGATACAAAAGATGAAATAAAATTTAATGAATTAAACAGAAGGTACTGTAACAGGGGATTCAGACAAAAAAAAATTAATTAAGATCGAAATCGTCAATCCATTTTATTTTATATTTAAAAATTCAAAGATAAAATAAGATAAAAACTTTATACTGCGGGGAAGCAGGGAAAACGGATAAGACAAAAAATATATATTTATAGATTTTTAAAAAAAAAAATGTAAGATAGAAATCGTGAAATGTCTCTGTAATCGACCATGGAGTCAAAAATAATATAAATATGAAATAGAAAATACAAAAAATTAAAGCAGTAACGAATCTTAAAAGTTCGTCAAGACTCAAGAAACATAATAAAATTACAAATGAAAATATAACTTTATGATTACAAGTCAAAAGTAATAAAAGTATTAAATATAAAATACTTTGAGGAATTTTAGAAAAATAATAATAGTAATAGATTACTATGAAACAAAACAATACCAACATGGAAATAAAACAGAATAATCAACAGTCAGCCAGATTAAAGCAAACTCAACATATAAATATTTAAAGGTTTTATATGACACATTCAGTGATCAGCCTGTAACTCCAAACATCAGAAGCAGTTTCCTACAAAGTGACGCGTGCAACACATCTGTTATTTTAACCGTTACCGAAGTTTCACAATCAGCCTGAAAATATCTCAAAACTTTAAATAGTGACAGAAAAATCCCTGCATGTTATAAATATAAATATTTTGACCTATTTCAGCAGAAAACTTCCCTGATTTGTTCTAAACAGAGACTAAAAATGTTTCTGCTGCTTGATGTGGTTTTAAATTTAACGTTCAGCCTCAAGTCGCCAGAGTGTGATGTCATCTCTTCTTGATTATAACAGGAACATATTTTAAACATGTTCTCACAGAGGAGTGAAAAATATTTGACCAGATAAATGTTGTGACAAAAAAAAAAAAATTCTTAAGATCTTGAAAATTGACAAGTTGCTAAGCCACGCCCCCTTAGTTACTGTTGCTATGCCTGTCAGTCTCTCCATTTACAGTGATAAAGGTCATTTATCAGATCACAGTTCATATTAATGTTTTAAACAATGTGTCCTCATTTCAGACAGGAGACAAACACAGCTGTGTGTCGTCTGACAGTGACCCTCAGTGTAGCCAGCTCAAGTGACATCAGGGCACCTGCACAGGTATTTATCAGCTCCAGCTCTGATTGGCTCAAATCAGCAGGGATGAAACCTTGACACCTGGTGGACACTTTCTTCGGCCTCCATTTATTAACCCTGTGTTACGGCACATTTGTGATGTCCGACATGACACACGATGATCATCGAAGAATCGTGTTCACAGCTCTGGTCTTCAGGCGCTGGACAGTTATGTTGGTGGAAAATATGTAAATGAGATGCACAAGTCTTGGGTATGAAGAGTGTGAACATCTGTGCAGGTGGATGGGCTCTGATGCAGAGTGATGTTTCCAGTGTGCAGCGCTCCCTCAGGCTTCTGATGAATCTTAAATATCCATCATGAGTATTGAAGATGGCGACGCTCTGTCATGAATAAGTCCGCTCAGACCATTTTTGTTATGTGGATGGATCCATCAAGCTCAGGACTTTGACCCAGGAGGCCGGTGTTTGTGTCCCCTGTGAAACTAGAAGTCAGTGTCAAGTCATTTTGTAACCTGAGTAGAGAACGATCTTTGCCTCGAGGCCCAGACACACCAAACAGACTGCAGAGAAGTAGCAGCACTGAAGGTCCAAACGTGTCGTCACACGTCGCTGCTAATTCTCCAACATCAGTTTGGTGAGTCTGGGCCTTTAGATGTTCACCAAATGCAGCCATGTTTGAGTCCAGGTTAAAAATGTGTCTTTTCATGTGTCTCTTATGGAACACTAAAACTTGTGCTGTAGCCCTGCTGCACCTGCACTGTTTTCATCTGCTTAGTATTTTATCTCTTTATTACTAACTTGTACTTTCTGTTGATTATGTTTTATAACTGGATGCTCCTTGGTGCCTGTGTGTGTGTGTGTGTGTGTGTGTGTGTGGGTGTGTGTGTGCGCGTGTGTGTGTGTGTGTGCATTAAATGTGCTGCAGAAATAACGCTGCTGTAAACTCTCATCAGTCTGTTGATGTTAAACTGCAGCTGAACTTTCAGGTGTGTTTGAAACTTCCCATGAAACCTCTGACATCATCACATTTCTAACAGCTGATGTCACCGTCAAGTGTGTGTGTGTGTGTGATGTATAAGTACATGAGGTCAGATTCATTTTTCAAGGTAAAGTAACACGTTATTAGTTTAATCTGAACAGACGTGAAGCTGCACAGAGTGTAACCAAGTGAACATGAGGTCTGAATTCAAAATGGTGGCTGTAGTTTCTGGCTGTAGTTTTGAGGGTGAAGCTGGAGCTCTGCAGGAATTTTCTCTTCCAGCTTCTGTTTTATGGACGTCTATACGAGCAAAACTTAAAACTCATAAAACACTGAAACACACACACACACACACACACACACACACACACACACACACACACATTTACAGGATGTCTCCACTTCTGAGGACTTTCCACTGACTGTGGAGCAGCTTTGTCATGTTCATGATCTTGTGAGGACACTGGTGGGTTTAAAGCTGCACAGCCTCCACACAGTGTCCACACAGTGTCCACACAGTGTCCACACAGTGTCCACACAGCCTCCACACAGTGTCCACACAGTGTCCACACAGCCTCCACACAGTGTCCACACAGTGTCCACACAGCAGACGTCAGCTGCTTTAATGAACCAGTGAACTTGAGTAAACGTACTCTCAGCTGTCCTGAGGATCACTGCTGTGCTGTGTTTGTGGTCTCCTGCAGCTCTGTGAGTGTTAATCTTTTACTTACACACCTGATCCGATTAAAGGCTCCTCACACTGACATGGTGCTGCATTCATGGTCATCGGTTTCTCTGGATCAGCCAATCAGCATCGAGCTTTTAATTGGATCAGGTGTGCAGGAACAGGAAGTTGGAGCAGCTGAGAGACAAACAGAAACAAACAGAGGGTGTGTCTCTGTCACTTTGTAGTTTCTAATACACATAAGAGGCCGTTTACACATGGCCGGCTATTTTCATAAACAGACATTTCACCGTCTCCGTTTTCAAAAAGATCTTCGTTTACACTTACCCGTGTATATATACACAAGAGCATGCCAAACCTGTAGGTGGCAGTGTAACGAGAAGCTCAAGCCTTCCATGTATCCATTGTCACCATAGCAACATAGGTCGCACTTTTTACACAGGCGCAAGTTCCGGCGCATACTGTGATGTCGGCTGTCTATAACTCCGTTTATCTCCCTTTATCTCAGTTTACATGCAAACGCACAACCGGAGTTTTCCGAGTTTTTAGAAAGACTCGTTTTCAGTAGGAGAAATCTCCGTTTGCGTGTAAACGAAGGGCACAAACGAAGGAAGATGTCTCCGTTTATCAAAATCACAGCGTACGTGTAAACGGCCTCTAAATCAGGTGACAGATGAAACTGAGAGAAACAGCTGATCTAATGGCACATTAACCCCTCCTCTTCCTCTCTGTGATGATCACTGCAGTAACACTTCATCCAGTCAGTGAAACACAGACGCAGCTCACAGACAGAAGCAGTCTGAGGTCAATGTGATCAAGTTGCTGTTTCTCAGAGTTCAGGATCTTTGTTGTCACATGTGAACGAGTCACAGGAGCAGCTCTCAGGCTCCGCCCTGCAGCGCTCAAATATGGAAATGAAAATAAGAATCAAATGAAATGAAAATCATGTTAGTTAAAATCTCATTAAGACATCAGACATGAAGACTGCAGCAGGACAACAGCTTGATCATACAGACAGTGTAACAGACTGTCTGCAGTGGTTTCTCTCCTGCTGTGTAAATGGCGCCTCCTGGTGGACAGGATCCTCCCTACAACCAATCACTGCCCCATATGTCTCTCTACAGACCTGTGTGGTGCTGTGCCAGGTAACGCACCCAGTTTGGGTCATTTACTCTCACACAGTAAATAATCAGTTATGTTGCAGGACCTCATAAAAGATGTCAGGCCCTGAGGAAACAACAGCTCTGGATGTAAAGTCACGAGTCCCTCTTGTCTCTTTGGGGCCATCGTCCTCCTCGTGGTTTAGCTCCATCAACGCTCTGTGAAACCATCTTTTACAATCTGGAAATAATTTGATTTACAACAATAGATAAGTTACATATTCTATTTGATAATTAAGTCAGAGAAAATTGTTGAGATGACCACATCTTTACTGAATCCCACCATGACAGTTTTATATTAGATGTGAACAGGTGATAAATATCATAAGTATAAATCCTCACATGCAGCTGAAGTAAAAGTATCAACACCACAGTGTTAAACTCCTTCATTCACAATGTTACTCTGGTAAAAGTAGAAAATCTTCAGCTTCAAAATAAACTTAAAGCACCAAAAGTTAAAGTACTCCTTACACAGAATTACAGAATAATATTTTATTTATTCATGATATTTTATATATTAATCTGAATCTGTCAGATAAATGTAGTAAACAATATTTCTCTGTGACGAGGTGCAGTGGAGGTGTAAAGTTACAGAAAATGGAAATACTCAAGTATAAGTACCTCAGAATTGTACTTTAGTGCAGTACTTGAGTAAATGTACTGTCATGATGTCATGACGCCATGTGTGCTCTATGTTGTCGCCGTGGTAACAGGAAGAGAAGCAGCTGTTGTTGGATGGAAAGTTATTCTGA